GCAGTCGTATTAGTAGTAGTAGTTGAATGACAGTTATAACAATAGTCAGAACAGTGAAAAATTCGATTTTGTACGAGGTCACATGTAATACGATCCCAAATTCAGTTGGTAGTATTTAAAATTACAGGACAGCGGAGCAGGTGCATCAGTTATCGTTAGACTGTTGACCTTTTGGCGCTTGTCACGCCATTCAGTTTTGTATGGACAGTAAAGTATATTTAGAATTATATAACTCTTTCATAGTAGATATGGATAAAGGGAAGGATGCTAAAGATAGAATAAGTGAGGAGAAAAAGAAGCCAATGTTGATCAAATTAAACTCACATTTTGATGTAATTCTAAAATTGGCAGAGATGTTTGAATGCATGAAGCAGCGGAAAGCAATTTTTTAAAACACGCTCATAAAACAAAGAAATATGGAAGCGGTATGAACTTACTGCGGTTACAAAGAATTAGAGTATTACAATGATAGATTCGTGTGAGAGTGTAAAAGCAATATTTCTATCAGCAAACACGTCCTTGTTGCAACGCACGGCGCAAGGAACAATAGCGACATTTCAGGCATACTACTTTGGAAGAACTTTTGCACAGGAGATTGCTCAGCAAACAGGTGATGATGCTTTCTATCTCACATTTTCTACTCATATATTGCATTAAGAAAGGTATTAAAAATTGACCCATTTTAAAATTTTTATTAGGCCTTTTCAATGAGATGGGACATATTAAATGACTTAAAATCACTTAGAATATCATGATTTGAACAATAACATTATCGTCAGTGAGTACTACGATGCCAGTTAAACGTTTGGGAATGTACCACGTCCACGGTTCAAATTTTGGAAATGGACCTTCGACTAGGTATGTTCCTTTAAGTCTTCCTACCAATATGACCATGTTGCGTAAACAAGGTCAAACAACTTCTATACAACGTAATGAGACTGCGACCATAGAAAAGCCCACACCATCCTATTCTTCATACCTTCGATTAAAGATATCCCTGGTTTTAACAATGTTAAATAAATGCTTTCTTACATCATTTACCTAATCTTTTCTATTGCTGCTTGTTTCATTTTGGGATCTTCCTCTATCAGTCCTGGCCTCTTAAGCTACCCAGGTTGGCTTAGTTTATTTTCCATATTTGCATATATTTTCCTTATATTTGCAACATTTTCGCCAGATAAATTAAGCATATTACTCCTATATATATATATATATATATATGTGTGTGTGTGTGTGTGTGCGTGTCATCAAGCGCTAACTGGGGAAATGACTAGAGATAAGCTACGACTTCGATTGCATGAATACCAAGATGGTGTAGCGCCTATATTGGTCTCGGTCGCTCTTCGCCGACCTCGTTTTAACAACTTGGTCATGTTGTCAAGGTAACCTAGCTAAATGCACCGTGTCTGGTGTCCTCTGTCATAGTAGCCATGACAATTTCCAATTTGGGACCGTGAGCTAAGAGAAGGCTGAGACTCAGTTGGTATCATCAGTGAACGTGGTCAACTAGGCAACACGAGTAAATTGCGAAATCAAGATCAAAATACTTCTACGACTTGGATTTTTTCAACTCCATATTACGATTCCACTAAATGATATGCGCTAATCTGACTACCAAAAGAAAGGAAGAGAGCAAGAAAAGAGAAGTGTACAGCTCAACTGCCAATGCTGGTGTATGGCATCACGCGATGCAACAAGCGGCGGTCCAAAACCACTTAATGCCTGGCGAGCCCATTTGGATGCATTCGAGTTATCGTCACCCACGCGGCTGGGTCGTCTCATCTTCGAGGTACAGATTAAAGGGTTTTGGGAGAGCCTGACCCACATGCCTCACCAACCGCTGCTCTCGAAACTCGTCACAGTGACACAGTCATAAGCGATGCTACATACATCATTATTCTGGTTGCCTCCCACCTTTCTTCTGGCACCCGATTTCACCAGCTCTCTCCTCTCTCTCCGTCCTCCCTCGCCTCAGTCCTCTCAGTCTCCCTTTCGTTGGTCAGTTTCTTCCCCATTAACAGGCAAGGCACCCGCTACAGCTGTTCTCTTGCACCGATGGGCCGGTTTACCGCCCCTCCTCCGCACCGACGCTCCGTCTACATGTCGTACTGTCTGGCAGGTTGAGTAAATCAGCACATTGTGTCCGCCATCAGAGAACACTCGTCGCTCCGCAGACAAATAGATGTCGGTACGGGGGGGGAGGGGGGGAAAGGGGCAATGAGACCTCATCCTCCTCCTTTGCGCCACCTTTCACTGTCCGATGCCCCTCACTGAGCTAGCTGGCCATTTGGCCACTTTATTTATTGGTCTTCCGACCGTCGAACAGCCCCAACACACGTTAAGTATGGCGTTATCCTTTATATACTATAAACAGGAAAACCACTTAGCACGGCCCTTGATCCTTCTCTCTCTATCTCTCTCTCTCTCTCTCCTTCTCTCTTTCTGGCTCTTTCTTTCTCCCTCTCGCTCACCTACCGGCCGGCTTCAGATGGAATGTTCTCGGTGACTTTTCAACTAACAGGCGGTCTGAGACGCCGTAGCCAGTTCCGCTTTTAAACTCTGAAAGCATGTTTCAGAACTGGTTGCAACAAGTCTTTCCCACTTTGCCTCCCACCCACGGACACACAACACACCTTTGCCATCTCCGACCCGCTCCCCTTTTGGCGTGAGATGCACCATCCACACCACGGGCCAGGCAAACACTTTGCCCAACTCGCCAGTCAGCTTTATCCATCATAATCCTTTGCCACCGCCCCCTTCTCCACACACACACACACACCCCACCGGTATGAGGGTTCATTAATTTTCCCGCTTTATCTTTGTCCCTGTCCGGAATTCGCCGGCTGCTCTGGCCAGGCCTCTACTCTGACCGCTGCCAGCTCCCGTTGCCGGCTGAGCCAATGGAAGAACGATTTCGGCGCCTGTTTGCAGCAGAAGAGACACATGCTGCCTCCATGATAGGCGGCAACACTGTCTGTCGTGTGTGATGCTACAGGCACTTGTGCCCACACGACAGTGGCCAGAAGGCCTGGGCGCACGCCTACCCTTAACCTCTTTCCGCTGGACGGCCCAACAGAGTAGGATACATTTCACTACAAAGTCAAGCCTTCAGGGCTCAATTTCGGTTGCCGACCGCATGACGAACGGCATTACACCAGTCTGGATCCCGAATGTCGAGATCTCAACATCCGATTGGAGTTTGAACAACTTGAGCCAGACACACGTACCATATTCCTTCAGTCTGTGTCCTCCACTCTCGACATGCAAGTGGGTCATTGAGCCTGTAAAAAGTAAAGCGGAGAGAGAAAAGAATAAATTGTAGATACGAAGAGAAATTGGGTTTCGATGAATCTCCTGAGATAACATTGGTAGGGGGACCATCATTTCGTATGAAAGTGCATGAAGAAGAGATTCGTCACAAGTGGTTTCGTAACTTGACTTACATGCTTACAAGCTCATATCTCATCATCTCAATCATACTTGCTTACGAACTTACGCAGTCTCGGTCAGGGCTATCTTTGAGGTCATTAGGCGTTGATGATCAGAGCCTAACTTTAACCTTTTGATAACTCTGATTTAGGACCGGTATTGCATATGGACGCTAACACACACACACACATACACTCGAGCAAAAGTAGCAGGACAAGTATGAAAGATAATTAGCCAAACCACTTTATATCCATCTAGGTTTTTAATTTTTAATTTTATTTTTGCTTGATTGAGTCTATATAACATGAATATTGTATAAAATTTAACCGGCTGCAATGCAACGAGTTTCATCCGTCCTCATGTGGTGAGATCGACCAACGAATCTCTTCTTCATGCACTTTCATACTAAAAGAAGGTCCCCTAAGTATAAATTGTGTTGAGGAAGGTAGATATGAAGAACAAGATGTTGCGGCCTTTCGTTTGGCCGCAGTCTCCTTTAGCTTTATAGTATTGAAGTGGGTTGAAGTGGGTGGGCAAGACTGACTGATGATGCCGACTACGATGCCGGCGAAACGCTTGAGAATGTACCAAGTCCACTGTCTGATGCTGGCAATCATGGCAACTACTATGGCAGACGACTTCGGACTAGGTGCGTTCTACATAGTCACCCTGACAACAAGACCAAGTTGCGACAACGAGGTCAACCCACTTCTATAAATCGAAAGGAGACTGCGACCATAACAGACGCCATAATATCTTGGTCTTCATATCTTTATAGTTTTGGTTTGACTTTGTCTCCACAATTTGGGCTCGAGCAACTGGGGCACTTTGTGGAACTTACCTAGTCTTGCGTCCTCCGCCAAGTATTAGTGATTTCCAACATCGGACCAGTGACTTGGTATACGCTCCGAAAGCACGAACCAATAGTTTTGAGGAGTAGCAATATGAGAAGTAGTCACCCTATTTCGTTTTACTGATTCACTGGTAGTCTCGAAAGTCTACTTACATACGAAAAAGGAGTAGCGGTTTTAGTTATGGATAAGACAGATTATAGAAAAAAGACGATGCGAGCTATAGCTGATTTTGATACATGTGGAATTATAACTAAGTACCCTACCGAAACACTAAAGTTGAGACTTCAGTGTTGCCTGCAACATTGCGTTGATAGTGGAGAATTGGAGAAGTGGAAAATTAATGCACTTCTCCAACGTGACCCTAGACCTCCGAATGCATAAGTTCTGTCCAAAATACACAACAAGGCAGTCCCACTTAAGATCATCGTAAACAATAAGGCTGGTGTGATGCACAAAACTTCATAATTCCCTTGTTTTCAATTAAGACGAAGCTTAGATTTGGAAAATTTTCAAGAAAGAATTAAAATGAATTTTTCAAGTCAATAGATAAGCAAATTATACAACAAGAAGATTGCTCGCATTGTTTGTTGTAGTATGGATGTACACGAATATGCCGGTCATCGGATTCATACAGGCCTTAGGGTTAACCTTAAATCGACACCCAATGATAATATCAGGAAATAATACAAGCAAGGAGTCAATCATGAGATTGACGAACTTAGTTTACATTTAATGGCAAATCGTACGAGCAAACCGGAGGGCTAGCTATGGGATCGTGTTTGTCTTCAGTTTTAGCCAATAACTACATGGCTCAATTGGAAGTCCGGCTTTTTCAAGAGTCACCTCTCTTACCGAAACTATTGGTCAGATTGTGGATGATTAGTTTGGTATCTGGCAGCATGGCAATGAGCACTTGGATGAGTTCCCTGTTTTAATGAATAAAGTAGATATGGCAACTAAATCTACTATGGAGTTATAAAAGGACAATAAGTTACCCGCTTTTGATGTTTCAGTCATTAAAGAAGGGAATAAACTGGGTAGATATGTATATAGGATCTTAATCTATTTTCAAATCATAGTTAAGGCGTTATGGTAAGATTAATGAACTCAATAATAATGAGGAGTTTACGTCTAGCGGACATAAGGCATCAGAAATAAGAGATAGAATGGCTGAAAAATCGCAGTTGAGAATAATTATCCGTTAAGATTAATTGTTTTATATTTCAGAAAACTAAAAATTAGGATGAAATGAAACCATTGTTTGGCATAACTCTCCATTTCAAAAGGAAAGTTGATTGGTAGGAATTCGTGATATAGTGGCACCAAAAACCGAATGAGGATTGCCGAGTAGGGAAGACTGTAGAATTGTGCAAAGAAATCTTCGGCTTACCTTCCAGCGACCCCGATGAAACTGTGCCAGCTCCCGTCTGTACCGCCGTGACAGACATCATCAGAGCAGGAATCTAAGCTTTACGAAATCTAGCAAAAATATAC